TTTGGGGACGTGTGACGTAACCGCAGAGTGCTCGGCACTGAACCAAGTTGTAACGGGTTCGAATCCTGTCATGCCACCGATCTTGTGGCCTTGGGGAAAGGCACTTTACACGACTTTCCTTACTTCACTCAGGTGGAAATTAGTGTTTATTGCCCTCTGCGCTGGATGTGGTATGCATGTTGAAAAAGAACTCGAGTGCGCCGTCACCACGTCTTGTTATGAAATGTTGGAATAAAAAAAATCATACATGGGACCTCGCCGTTACGTCCCATCCGACAAGACGTTACCAGCAGAAGCTTGCGTAGGTGGTACTCATTTTCTCTTGCGTTGAGTGAGGAAATTTCCTCAAGACTCAACATTTCACTCCGGAACCTTAATATAAATAGATTCTAGGACAGCAACACTCACCACAACGTGACTATACCACCTGCGATGTAACATTGCCCGACGTGAATGACGTTAACATACTCTTCTTAACAACACATCATCAACCACCGTTAGCCTTTGACATAACGTTCTCGTTGTTACGTCATATTTCAATGCCTTCAGAGCAACCCCTTAACATGCTACAAGAGCACAATTACCATGCAATCAACATATTTACTACTGTATATGGGAAGGTTTGGTATTCCTCCAAGAATTAAGGCTAGGGTGTCTGTGCTGCTCTGACACTGTCCTAGATAAGCTGGTGTGTTACGCCATGACTCGCAACTCTTGGTTTGTCAACAATTTTGCACAACTGAATACTATCTACTACATCAAAGAGACTGTGTTGGAGAGCGCATCAATCTGAGTATAGCTTTGAAGATACATGACAACGTTATGAACGGCCAGCTTCAAAGATGATTTGAAAGATACCATGGAAGATATACAAGCTAACTTCGTTGCTGGTCATCAATCATAAAATCTCTTGCGTTTCTGATCGACAGCGTTTTGAAGTCAAAACGCGATATCAACAATGTCTTCTCCATCATTGCAGCCTGTGCGTTCAGATGATTTATGCTTATTGAACATGCACTACAATGATGCTCATTGCAATATCGAACAAATCGTTCACCAGTTTCATTTATGATTACCATTAGATAAGCCAACATGACTTCGAAATAACGTTGTTCGTGAAAAGGCACTTTGACATGTACCAAATTCGTCATACCTATCAGATACATTTTGGAACGTTGATGTGCGGAATTTCACATAAATTGAATGTTGATGAGTTGGCCAAATATATAACTACATTAACTCCACTTTCTTTTTCCCCAACAGGAACATTTCAGTTCTCGAAGATATTAGTCAAAAGTGTCAGCAAACAACTCTAGGCCTGTGAGCGTCAGGAGAGGGGGTTTGGAGAAGATCATTTGATCTATATATTCACCAGAAAACTCAGGCAACTGGATGTGGTTTTAGAAACGGTCAGACGTCTCAGGTAACATCCACTACCCCTTTCGTCACTGACACTTGTGAGATCTCAAGATAATTGACAACATATTAATTAATACTTCGTGGTTATAAACCTGTTGATCTTGAGATCTGTGCTCCAGTGCCAATGACGAAATGTAGTGGATGCTACCTGAAACATCTGACCATATGCAGTTGCTTGAGTAACTGTTTTAGGTGTATCTTACTATATATCTGGATGTCTAACCTTCGCCGATGTGATCTAAATATTCTCTTCAGTGTTTTAGTACTTGATACTTGACTGTAGTTTATAGCTCCTAATTGCCTCTTTTATGGCGTCCCGGTTTGTGTTTTTATCCATGTAATTGATGTCCATGGTGCACCATATCGCAGTCGGTTAGATGCTACTTTACTCTTGATTTTTCTGCGTCAATCTGTTAGGAGAAATCGTAGGGGTTTTATTCAGAACCGAGTCTATGTAGTTCTTTGTCTGAACGTTAGGATCAGACACGGTTCTGGGATCCTCCCGTATTCAAGAACGTAGATTTGCCCAAGGCACATTTCTCTATGTGGACTATACAGAACCGCACCTGGTCTGGATAAAGCACATTTTTGGATACAACGGCTATCACTTCATCATTGATGATATAATCTATCATCATATGTATACCATCTTCATTTTCAATGATACATTTATCAACCTGTACATAGATATTTTCACTCCGGCTTGGACACCAAAAAGCAGTCACTGCGTGCATCTTGCTCTCTCGTAAATTTTGCCTGCCCCTGTCAGACCAAACCTGTTGTAGGGATGATCTTTCCCTTAGGGTGTTTTTCCCGTGTGCTTTAAAGCGGGGCATTTAAGATAAAAAGTACCGGTTTATTAAGCTGACATTGTGCTGGCTCTGCAAGATGTCTGGCCATGATAGCACGGCTTCAGTCCCAATTTCCATGCCCTGGTGAGCACACACTTTACACGGGAAAAAATGCCTACCGGCCATGTCTACCTCTTCTCGTATCGGTTCATTTTAAGACCCAAACGTGTCTCTCTTCTTCTCCCCACAAGTGTTTCCGCAAGGGTTTCGCTTGGTTGACTTGAGCGTGTAAAGATGCTAATTTTGCGGTAGGGCTCATGGATGTACTAATTCCAGTACCAGGCATTCCCGGAAATTGTTGTTTGCGGCTTAACGCATTGACATTTGTGATAAAAGGCGTGAAATTGATATCTTAAACCTTCAGACTCACCCCGAAATTGGATGTTTTATAAAGGCTGTGTTTGCAATTCACCTAGGTTCGCAGGTAGGAAATAACGTTCTGGTCATTTTCAAGAAGCCCTCTTGGCATAACCAACCTGGCCTGATATGCTCCCATACAATCTCGGTCTACCCTCTAGTGTTTCTGTGTGATCATGACGAGTCCCACGCTGATCATATCAAACGCATTTTGAACAGAAATTACAGAAAAAGAAACGTTATTAAGGTCATATCTCTTCAATCAACTCCAGCGATGAAAGCACTTTCGTCCACGAATGTAATTGGGACGAATTCTGATTGCTTCTCTTTAAAGTAGATTGCTCTGGAACCGTCACTGTAGTGTCCTAGCCCATTATAGGTTGCTTTGCTTTCAAGGACAGCTAGCTTTTGGTTCACCGCTTTGGGCTAAGGGCAAGAGCTCACGCCACGCTACACTAGCTTGAAAACAGCTACAAGTTAAAGACGCCCAAGACTTTCGTGCAGTGTTCCCTGATAAACTTCAAAGTCAACTTCAATTCAACTCTGGCAAAGTTCAACGTGGTCAGCCATGGCTAGTGTAGCAAAATGTAATCATTCTATTAGCATACGATTCAGAAGAATGTTGAACCAAAGGACATGATTGATGTTACTGCTTCATGAAATAAGAGCAAATCTTGAATGTCTTTGCCCTGGCTTACAAATGTGGGAAGGCAAAAACATATATGCATATCTTGGCTATCTTTCCTCGTCGCTAACTGGATTTAACTGGATTCTCGTAATTGAGTAGTTGGAGTGGATTCAGGTGCTGGATTTAACTGGATTTGCGTACCGGATTTGATTGTTCTGATGTCGACAGAGAAGCTTATTTGGCAGGCTAAACATGGCAAAGTACCCATCAACTAAAAGGAAAAACATCGACGTTTTAAATCCGTGAAAATAATATAGGACAGTAACATTTCATCTCAGGAAATGAAAGAAATTTCAGTACATTTATCATTTTCAGGTAAAGCAGTGGGTATTATGCGGGTAGACGTAATGGAGAAAGATGGACTCCGTTGAATCTAGTTGGACTAACCTTTTTCGGGCCCTCCTAGATGGATTCAAATAATGAATAAAGCTTTTTTAAAGATGGTGATACACGGTGGGAAGCAGCAAGTATTTTGATATGATGGAAAGATGTAAGATATGATATGATGATTTCAACGTACAGAAATCAAAGCAGAACTGCACCATGAAAGGAACCATTATTCCAATACACACATGCTACGCTGACGGTTCTCTATGGAGCCATACTTCGCGTGCTTCCAAGAACTATTGCTCGTTTGGTGCAGACGAAACTTAACACGATCAAATTCCCGTCAAATGAGATACTAGAGGAAGCAGAGTAAATACAGTGGAACTCATCCCGGGAACATTTAGAGACTATTTCATCCCACTCTAGCTACAGGGAGTCCGTGGGAGTGGCCGTGTGTACGCCGAGGTTGTCCAACGCTCTTTGATCAACCTACCCAGAGCCTTTTAAGGAGAGAGGGGTAGTAACAAAATTACACCTTCGTGTCTTCACATCACTTTGAAATTTCAGTAGCCAGCATATCTAATTACCAAGAGGGAGCCGGTTAAAAGCAACCCCGGTTCAGCAGTGACTTGTGATACGCATTTAATTAAAAGGTGCAGACGGAGACGCCCAATTACGAGGCAATGCTTTTTGTGATACTTCGTTATCACAGCGGCTTCAAAGAACTCGATACTGACCAGTAGTCAGCGATGGAACCAAGATGCTGCTTCGTCACTTTTGGGATGGCTGCAATGCACAAAAACTGATCTTAAAGAATATCTCATTCGTAAAGGTTCAATTTTTCATTTGAGTGAAAAGACATTTATGTATGCTTGAAGGTTTGCTTAAAGATGATATTTGCGCAGTGCTGATTTTCAGGATACATTTTGATTGTTTGAACTGCGGGAATGTGCAAGCAGCTGCGTCCTTCGACTCAGTTGTACTTGAATAGGTATCAGCAGCACATCACAACCACATGATGCACTACAGCAAATGCTTCACCATCCAAAGCACGACACATGTTCATCAGTCAACCTCTAAAGCGTTTTAGACGGGCAAATCAATTTTAGTGCCATGATACACTCTCCAAATCCACCCAATGCGCATTTATCCCCTAGAAATGCGAGTAAGGATTGCTCTCCAAGTGAAAGTAGCCGTGGGGAAAGAAATCTCAACCCTAAAAGCCTTTTACTGCTGCGCCGTAATCGCAAATGTTCGAACGGAAAACATGTAATTGATACCATTTGTCAAACGATGTCTTATGGCATAACATAGCAATAACTAAAGCAACAGGCAGTGGATGTCATAGTGTTTCTTTGCATTCTACAGCTTTTAATCAGGGTTCCAAAAAGGTGCAGTGGATACAATAGCTATTCCCATCTGCTGAAGTAATCAAGGCGATATGCATCTGCAAATGCAGTTCACAGGCAATTAACATTAGTATCTTTCAAAATCTCATTTGTGTAATTACAAACATCAATTTAGCAAATTCTAACGGAGCGCTGGAAAAATAGACGTACAGTAATGGATGGCCTTTAGAATAGAGAGACATCTGGTCGAAAATACGTCCACTATTCTCTTTAGCACAATGTGATATAATATATGTTCATCAGCAAAAAGATTCGTTCTTAATCCTCGACTACCCTTACCGCAGCTTCACAGGACAAGACTTCGTCTTTGCTAACAAATGGTCTCCTCGCAGGTTTGTTAGTAGGCCGCTGTGGTTCTCTCTAGTGAGAGTGTCTCTACTGTGTTCACATGTCCAAACGGTCGGTCTTCGGTCGTGATCAATTGTCCAGGAGGTTCTGCTGCTGCCTGGCCTGAATCAGGTCCCCGAGGAGCCGCAGGACGGCGGAGCGCGTCAGGTGGTCGGCCGGGTCTTCTCTGAGGCTGGGCAGCAGCATCCTGGCCATGGGTTCCCTCTGGGGCGGCAGGGTGAACCTGGGCTGCGGGGCTGTGTAGTCTGGCCAGAGGTCTGAGTCCGAGTCGTCCTCGGAGCTGAGGGAAGAAGCCGGGCTGCGCCGGCCGAAGCGGAGTGGCTCGAAGGCCTCGTTCCAGTTGACCGCCGTCATGGGTTTGGCCTGGCTCCTGCGGGCCGGCATGGCCTCCCCGCCCTCCGGAACCAGCAGGCAGCCCAGCACTGCTACTAAGACGGTGGCCAGCTTCATAACTCTCGAACACGGGTGACTGAAATGGGACGATAGCGACCGATTAGTGCTCTCTCTCTGTCTCTCTTCCCAACTGAGCTAAGGCGTCGAACTTGGGAGGTTTTTATACCTACCTGTGACGACAAAGGACCACCAACGCAGTACGTCTGAAATGTCACATGTGGGTAGGTCGTGTGACGAGAGTCTCTCATGAGATATTACGAATCATTATTCATGATTTCTGTGTAGTTACAACTCGCTACATCCCTGATTCGACACGCCTTGATGACCCACTCAATTTCCATCTACGCACAGCCGGAGCTCACATAACATATCCTTCCCTTTCTGACCCAGACCTTTGGATTCTCCCGGGTCTCTTCATTTACTGTTTTCAATCTACATTCAAATGTTTCAAATTTGACGGAGGGTGTAGGGAGGATACGGACCGAAGGTGTTGAACACGTTTGACATTAAGAGATCGCACAAGCATGGATTGTACAACACATATCACGGATCATTTTTATATCAGATGAAGTATGAACAGTACAAATCAGCGTACATATGACAAATATTGCAATTACCACCTGGCATAATGATTACAGTGGAGAGATTAAAGCGCGCACACACCTGTAGGGACGGGAAGTCGCGGGGAGCTCTACTCGGCACGGCTGTTCGCAGTCGACGGCGTCGCACGTCTGAGGAAAGAGAAGCGCGGACCTGTGCTAGCGGAAATCAGCTCTGATATAGGAACCTGGGACGGCGTCTTGGTGCCTTTGAAGCAGAAACTTCGTCAGGAGTTAAGTTAGTTAAGACTGAAAGGGAACGCCCGCCGGCTTTATAAAGGTGATTCCGCAGAGATGCTTCTTGTAACCAGGCATCATGTGACGTCAGCGGCACTTGCTTTTTTTATAATGACATTATCGACATGCGTAGTTGCAAAATGTGTTCCTTGCATTCACGTCACTCACACAGGATGTACCCACTTAATAAGCTATATTCTAACATTGATATGCATTTCAAGATGCCAATCAGCCAATCAAAACGACTAACCAGACGTCATGCTGTCCAATGTATCAATTATTACAATTGCTACATTCGTCATAACTTACAACATTCACGCATATGCACACCACTCATTATTACATCAGCAACACCGATGCCTCGGATTGGTAGAAGAAAGAATGCAATCCAAGAGGCCTTCAAAAGATCCACTAGATCCAAAGGCCCACTAGATTTCACTATCTATACTATCACTGTTGATGGTTAATTTCATTTAAATGCTATTTCATCCAGAATGTTCCTATGGAGTATATACATTTACTTCAATTGCCATAAGTTTGTTGTGGGGCAAGATTGGAAACTGTTAAAGCTTGGAACTGTCTCAAAAAGAGAACATCATAATCTTCGATACCGCCAAAGATGCTCTCAATGGTAACTAGAAATCTAGATCAAAATAACGTTCATTCTGAAAGGCGTATCTGCTGGAATATTGCTAATACACAAAGAGTGCTGACAGGAAAGAATTCGCCAAGAATTTAGCGTCCTGCGGGCATGAGATAGTTCTAAAGATATACTATCTGATTCTACACCAGTACCCAATAACTATATACATATCCCACTTCGTTGTGCTGTGACTTTGAGCTGTGATGCAGAAGCTTAAGCATCACAACCTAAAGAGCAAATTGCTTCATGACAAACTATACATCGCACTGAAAATGAAACGCATTATAGGTACAATCGTATCTACCTGTATGAATGTAACCATATGAAATCTTTGCCCCATTATCCTTGTCCAAATACAAGGCATGCATTGCAGTCTGGGCACTTGCAATTACTTGGAAGACAATAGCGGGGAAAACAACATTTCTCCAGATCTTTGTGCCCAGTCTTACGTATATAAAAGGAATTGTCCAAATTGCTTGTCCTGAAGTATCGCCCAAGGACTACGCTTAAAAATCTCAGGAGATTTAAGTGGACATACACAAATGGTAAGATGATAAGCTCCTTTGTCCCACATCAATTCTGGACTCCCTTGATTGGGAAACATGGGGCATACAGGCCAGCTGGTTACCACTGGCCTTTGTCTACTTAAACCGTTAACATCTTTATTGTCATACATGCTGGCGTCCATGAAACAATGTTATTACGTGAATAGAACATTGGTGCTCCCAGGGGGACACAAGTGGTCTCATCGCGGTCAGGGATGTCGTCATTGTTTCCCAGTGGAACCAAATCATCTTAAGATCGTGGGTTGTGATCTTGTGATCTCGGCTTGTATTGGCCATACGGTCATACCTGACCACAGGTAGGGCCGGTATAAATTAACACAAGGGATGTGTTTCATGTCGGTAAGAGCCACCAGAAATAGTACAAGATACATCACAAAATTCATTTTCAGCGTTTGCAGTTAGTACGCCAATATTCAACATGCAGCTATTTGTACATAATGGGCTTTATTGCAGGACTCTAAGATCAGTAGCTTGACAATCAAATAACACATCCATCTTCGTTGCCTTCGTATTCAGCATTTATAATTGTTAAAAAAATGCCCATAATATCTTGAAGACCCTTAGCTACAGAAAAATTCATACAACAGCATCTAGTTTAATTCTGGACTTCCAGTTTAATTCCGGACTAATTCCCATATCTCAGCAACCTTACATCTAGATCGGCCAATATCGTAAACTATGAATAAAAATTATTTCAGAAGTACGTAGTAGCCATCAAGGACTCCTTGGGGATTAATCCAATTCTGCAGAATTCTGGGAACTGGAGCCAGAATTCCTCGGCATTCTGAAGAATTGGTTGAATCCCCAAGCGGTCCTCGATGTTACATATAGATATTTCTTACATCATTTTTACATATAGTTTACTATATTAGCCCAATGTAAATGTTTTTGCTGAGATATTAAACTGGAAGTCCAGAATTAAACTGGCTGTTATATGGATGAGGTACTCTGGTAATGTTTCAACATTGGAGCGAAGACGGATGAAAAAGCAAATTTATATGTCTGGAATATTTTGGTAGCTCACAGAGGAGGCAGATGAAAAACGCTTGTTTTCTCCCATCTGAGGACGTGCACCTGAGAACAACAGCAGGCTTCAGGCCCCCCGGCTGTTCTACTGTCATGAAAAGTTTGTTCCATGCATACCAAAGTCGGGCAGGTTTGACTCTGTCTCAGCATAAACCACAAGAGACGGCAAACTAGGAATTAGCTATAAAATATGTTCCAGCGTAGCCTTTATATCATGAGTCACTTGTAAGAGATCATTAAACACTGCGCAGTAAAACTGCTTTCTTGCAGAGGTTGATTCGTGAGCATTCATGATATCCTGCTCAACTTCTTACGGCAAATCTGGCTGGCCTTACACATCCATTTCGCTAGAGTACAGGGATCTGCACCTAAAACTCGCCACGGGTGGTCATGAAAAGGCTCTGAGTTAGCTCTAGCAGAGATTTATTACCTCCGATACACGTTCTGACCGTAAAAATCGCAGAAGCCCTGAGATTTGCCATGCCTCAAACAACATAAATAACTGGTGGCGCCCTTTTTACGAGGGATTTGGGTTTTGATGCGGCAATATTGAATGAAAACGTACATTTCAATTCGTTTCGTAAGAAGGGGCACTATTGAGTGTAGTGTCTGTCTTTAACCAATCTGTTTCTCTCATGATACACACACATACGAACAGAACGACAGCCACGTAACTTCAACGTTTTTGAATGTTTTAGATGTACGTACCAACATGTCTAAAACGATAGCACTATTGCTATTACTTGAATTGCTGTTTCTATGGTCTGTAGCCTTATTGAATAGCAACGTTAACAAGTTATCTTTTAATACATGTAGAAACGGTGTTTTTGTAATAGTTTTAGGGTGATTAAAATGGTGATGAGTATATACCACTTCCTACCTCACTCCCACCTTCACCAGAAACAGGACAACCGGAGGTTTGATCAGATGGCATTCGCGAGGGGCTATCTGAATGGATACCTGTCCTTGTAAACGTACGAGTACCAGGCATATAATCTGTATGGTGCTTAGGAACCATCATCGATACTGTAACAGTACTGATTAATACAATAATGACACATTCTCGACATGCCGCAAATCAAATTAGTATCTTTTATTTGATGCACGGTACATGCAACTAATCAGTGTCGAGGCCGAAGATCGGGGGCAAGCATCATCTTATTGCACCGATCGGACCACAGAAAGGGGATTTAAGAAACTAGATAATTATACTACTGTTTCAAAAATGGAGGACAAGGCGATACCATCATCACACGATAGATAACGCTTGCTCGTTTTGTTTTCCGCCATGATAGATTTCCCAAGGCAGTATCATCTCCTCGTGTAGGTCCTTGGCCTTTAAACAGAAACATTGTGAGCATCACGTTGATCCTTCCCATGTTTCTCGGCTTTATAGGGATAAAAAATCTTCCGGACCAAAGATCTCATACCCGTGGTTCTTGTTTCTGGTAACGCATCACACGAACCTTAAAGTACTTTTTTTTAAATAAGCAGATATCCAATGGCTTCCACTTCAATGATGCCATTTTTCAAGGAACGACCGCTAATACAAGCAAAGAGTTGTTAAATTAGCCAAAAGCCATGAAAATGGGATGCATGCTGTTACTCCTGGGCTGGGTATTGTAATAAACATAAATCAACATCTGCTAAGCCTTGCCCTTATAATACGGACATTGTGACTATCACGTTGATCCTTTGAATGTTCATAGACCTTATGAAGGATAAACTACTTCCGCACCAGAGGTCCTCTGCCGGTAGTTCTTAGTTCTGATAAATGCACCACATGTACACCTGTTGGTCACACAACCAGCCTCGAAGTACTTTGGGTTTTAAATTAACAGATATTCAATAGCTTCCATTTCAAGTATGCCATTTTCCAAGGCCCCGTGGTCATACAAGCCAACAAATGCTTGGAGTTTTTAAATCAGCCAGGAAACCATGAAAAAGAAAATAGTAGTATATTGTTACACTTATGCTGTTTACTGTTGTTGTAAAAAAAGGTGAATCATATCCGCATTTTGTTGAGCCTTGGCCTTTCACGGTGGCATTTAATCACGTAGTTTGTGACTATCATGTTGATCCCTTGAATGTTTATTGTCTCTGTAAAGGCTTAACTACTTCCGTACCAAAGGTCCTCTGCCGGTAGTCCTTGATACTCATAAACGCAGCACACGTCTGTTGGCATGTCGTCCTTATCTTAGGCCTCGAAGTATACTTGTTTTTGAAGTAGCAGACATTCAATAGCTTTCACTTCAAGGATGCTATTTTAATGGTAAGATATAGCGTATTTAAAAGCTCCACGCTCCAGTGGTCAGGAGGTTATACGCTTTAGTCACGATGTTTCCCCTGACATCTACCTGTGGGACTTTTACTACCGAAGCATCGTGGTCTTGTTTAACCTCATAAAGGAAGCTTTTATGTGAAGAAGTGGCATATCTCAAACGGTGTCCTTCAGCTGCATCACGTTTTCTTACATGGTACATTACTTCTGAGGTCCGATGAGAATATGAGCGCCATGTAATACCGTATGAAGCTAGTGGATGTAATGTAACACAACTGCAGGATTTATTTCTGTAGACTAGGAGGAGCGTTAAAAACAGCATGTGCGAAGGTCAACAGCACGGCGGAGTTACGATCATGTGTTTATTGGATGCTTCTGAAGATTGGGATTTTCCGATCAAACAGTTAAATTTGAGCACCAAGTAAAGCTATAAAAGAGACTTTCATCCTACACCACCAAGATGTCTATCGTTGATAGAAAATTTCTTTATTCGCAGTACAGGGTGTATATTAAGTCAAAATATATTCGTCAAACAGTAATGCA